AGCTGGCTGAACTGAAGGAGCTAAAATTTAAACATAAATATTTGAAAAGCAGTGTTACTCTTACATTGTTTCTCTTAGAATACATTAAAAAAAATATAAAATTTTTAAAAATCAGCGTTACAGCAGCATCACTAGTGCTAAAAATCTAGGAACTTTTCACGTGCTGTACACGCTCACCTTCTGTCCACAAAGTGCTCACTTTTGAAAACAGCAGTGAAGATGTGCAAGCAGCATCTGTACTGGGTCCTGAAAAAAAATGAATGCAGTCTCTCTGTAATTAATTTGTGCAAATTCTGAGCGAGATGAAAAGATGAGAAAATGTAAAAGTGATTTTGAATAATTAATGATCTATGCATTAAGCAGATGTTTAAGTGAACATCAACCATAAATGAAAATGGAGAGAGACCGGGATTTGACTCAGGCCTGATTGAGCATGCATCAAGACAGGTTCATTCGTCATTTTCATCATGCCATTTTACCACAGCTGATTAAATCTAACCGCCTTTACCCAAGCGATAGAAGCTTCCTTAAACAAATCAAGTAAATGAAATCACAGTGGACACTTCTGTTACCTTTAAAATACACCTGAAAAGTTAATCTGTTGGTTTACTCTCATTACAAACAACGTTTCTTACTTTTGATGAATGAACAAGGATCGCTGAGATCTGTTTCAGGTGGTACATAAGTTGTCTTGTTTCCTGAAATTTAAAAGTGGGAAATTTTTAAAAAGTGCCGCATCTCAAACTCACAACAGCACAAGAAGGATCACGATGGTTAAAAATATGACACCTGAAGTTTAGCACTACCATAGAGAATGAAAAGGAAACTGTTTAGGCCTGTTGAGCTAAACAATCCCAAGCTCCCACGCGGGAGGCCTGGGTTTTATTCCCAGCCACTGCAAAAGTTCCTAGCGCGCAATAAGCAAGCAATACTTTAACTTCAACCCAGTAACTCCTAATACGCTGGGACTCATCTTAATGGTCGTGCATCATAACGGTTTCCTGATTCTTTTCAAAAGCTTCACTTTTTATATTTATCTTTCTGAGAAATCCTTTCATGTCCTTATTGATACAGCCCATATCAAAGTACATTTCGTGTGAATTAAAAAGCGTAGACTAAAGCAACGTCTACAAATTCATTGTTCTCTCTCACTGACAGTCCAAAATACAAAAGACTAAACGTGTTAAATGTCATGTTGTAAAAGACAATTGCAGTGCTGTAAAGATAATACTCTAACAAAATGTTTTATCTTATAACCATATTCAGTCAGTCAAGTTTACCAAACTTTACCATGAGGGATGTGACATTCAGTAACTTGGAAATTCTATTGTGACGACAAACGTTAGATCTGTTTAGTTAATTTGTTTTATTTAGTAGACTTTTGGTTATTGTACTTTCTCTCTAGCTTCTCTTCAGTTTTTCGGTTCACTGTCCAGTCAGCTAATCATTTACCTCCGTTAATGAACACTTTCAAAAGCTTAGAGCTTCCAGATTCTCTGAGTAGTTGAGGATACCAGTATAAATCCTAGGGACACCTCAGTTTTGTTCTGTACCCAACTGAAGTAGGATCCAAGGAAGAAATGTAGTATATGACGTTTGCCATTTAAGATTCATCAGGCATTGGTACAGTAGTGAGCACTTTTTGAAAGGTGTTCATTGTCTTGTGACTGACTGTGTTGTTAGCCAATTTCAGTTTCACATTCAGATCCACCCTTGCTCTTCACATACAGTTCCCAACACTTAGAGAAAACCCTAAACAACGTTCTACTGGACTGTGGGCCGTCCTCTGTTTTCTGTGCAAAAGTTGCTGCAGCAAGCATTGGTGGTTCAGTGGTAGAATTCTCGCCTGCCACGCGGGAGGCCTGGGTTCGATTCCCGGCCAATGCAGGGCTTACTTTTCTTCCCTCCATCTATATATTTTTAAATCTGAATCTATAAAATGCACACCTTTAAAACTGCTTCTCTCTTAGTCAGAAATCAAACATTGACAGATGTTGTGCTACCTAGGGGTTAAAATGAAGTGTAAACCTATTGTAACATTACCCTAAAAGGTCCAGGGGATGACGGGGAAGTAACAAAAGGTGTCCAAATTGAAAAAAAGGAGACAGGGAGGCAAATGGTTAAATTAAACTGAAAAAGAGGCAAGCCGCTATCACCTTTTAGAGAAGGAAAACAACAAAACCCAGATGTTGGTCAATAAACTGAACAGAACAAAGTAAAAAAAAAAAAAAAAAAAAAAAAAAAAAGGGTTAGTCACCAAAACAGTCCTCTCCACAGAGCAGGGGAAACCAGTCACCATACGCACAGCTCACTAGCTACAAAAACCAACGAGGCTCTCTGGCACCCGCTGCATATGCAAAACCACCAGCATTGTGGAGGACCCCACACACCCCTAACATACAATCTTCAACCTTCTGGCAAGAGGTACCGGAGCAGTAGGGCCCTCACTGCCAGACAGCAAAACGGTTTCTTCCCCCAAGCCGTCAGACTCCTAAACAGATCAGTGACTGGACTGACACACACACACACGTCAAGTCACTTTTATCACAACCCACTGTTGTTGTTGCACTTTTCTATTGCACTGTCTAGTGTCGGCGTTATTCTGTTCTGTCTGGTGTTGTGCTGTTTCGTTTTTTGCACACTTACACTTTATGTAGTCCTTTGTTGATAGCCTGTTATATGTAGCACCATGGTCTTGGAGGACCGATGTCGCATTTCACTGTGTACTGCACGACTGCTCATAGTTAAAATGACAATAAAGCCACTTAATGTGGCACTAGAGCTCGCCTTAAGTACACTTAATTGCTAATTAGAGTCAGCTTAGGTAGCACCTAAGGCAGGAGAGATGGCAGGACACACCTACACGTCGTTCCAGACCATACTCCATACCAGTTGGTGGCGGTAATGCACCTTTCACTTGTTTGCCAACCGCCAATATAACTGTAAGAAAGAAAGAAAGACACACCCACACAAGGTCAGTTGGACAGGAGCCCCTGCAAGGGCCATAACACTATATTCTTATGTGAATAACTGGCCAGAGGGACCACTGTCTGTCTTCTGTGCAAAAGTTCCTGCAACTATTCCCCATTGAAGTAGGATCCAAGTAATCGTTGGTTTTAACTTACATCGAGAAACTCCAAGTAGGCTGGCTACACTGAGCTGTGGTTTGTCGCACAAATAATATGACCCATTGGGAAAACCCTAATGTACAGTCAGTGAACCAGGTGGAAACAATTATACACACCGCTGCCTGTCGTCTCTTACCTAGGGTAACTCTGGAGAGAAATAAAGTCCAGCTACTCTCCACGAAATTAGTTCTAGAGCCCAAGCTGTGTGTGATATTCAGTAACTTGGAAATTGTATTGTGACGACAAACACTGAATATGTTTAGTTAATTGATTTTGTGTAGTAGACACAGGGCTGACAACAATGCTAAATGTGCTACTGGCCGGTGGGGCCGTCTCCTGTTTTCTATGCAAAAATCAGCTTATCACCCAGTAGGATTAGCCTGATGGTGTTAAATGCACTGGAAGTTTGCTTCGTACATGCCGACTGGCCCAGAAAGCCCTCCATTTCCTGTGCGAAAGTCACAGCAGCAAGCATTGGTGGTTCAGTGGTAGAATTCTCGCCTGCCACGCGGGAGGCCCGGGTTCGATTCCCGGCCAATGCAGTTCTTATTTTTCCGCTATATATGTGTAAATCTGTTATAGAATGCACCACTCTAAAACTGCTTCTCTGTTAGCCAAAAAACAAACATTGACAGATGTTGTGTCCCTAGTGTTAAAATGAAGTGTTTCAAGAAAGAAGACCTTAATCTATATACTTGCATGTGCAACTGGCCAGAGGGGCCACTGTCTATTTTCCCTGCAGAAGTTCCTACAGTAAGCAAATAACGGTGAGCGATAGAACAAATATACTTGATGTGGAAGTTTTTCCATGTACGATGGCAAACATGGCTTTATTGTAACCATGGGGTATAACAGGACCAGGATCACTGGGTCTCAGCAGTCCTTTTAAGGGTTATCTGAGCAGGTCTTTGTCTAGCCTCTAACATCACTAAAATGTCAGCTGTTCCCCAGTTTTAGTTTCACAGTCATAGTCACACTTAGTCTCATAATCCTGAAATACAGAGAATGCTTGAACAATGTGAAATACACGTGTGTCAGCCGGCTCACCCACTGTCTTCCGTGCAAAAGTTGCTGCAGCAAGCATTGGTGGGTCAGTGGTAGAATTCTCGCCTGCCACGCGGGAGGCCCGGGTTCGATTCCCGGCCAATGCAACTCTAGTTTTTCTCCTGCTTTGTGTTATATTATATAAAGCATGTAGTACCCAATAATCTGGAGAGGCTAAGTTGTCGAGGCCCCTCTCTCTGACCTAAGGCCAACACGTCGGTTGTGTCTGATGACGATTTTGACCGCACATCCTGTGTCGCGTGACGCAATCTTTGCGGCGTGTCAGTTGGTCATGCAACTTTTGCAACTGTTTAAAAACTTGAGCTTGTGGAAAGAACTTTGCAAAAACCTTGACAAAGTCCTGGCTTCTTGTTTTGTCTCTTTCCCCTCCTTATCAGCACACATGCCACAATATTGTCTGAGTAGCGACCCCTTTGGTTTGGTAGAATACTGCAGCGCCTTAGTGGCAGGTATAAATGGCTGCATCTGTGTGATGACAGCATGGCGGTGAGCAAAGCGACCTCTGCAGCTAAATGCTGCCTCAGCACATTTGCAAAGGTGCGAGGAGTGAGCTGATCTGTACTGTACTGATTATAGCACGAGAACATGTAGATTCATACACTTTTATTGGAGAACAACAACGAAACACCTGATGCGTTAGCCTGAACATCTAACACACTCTTACAGGGAGACACAACCTGAGGCAAAAACGTGTGTGGTGAGCTGTGGTTTCTGGCTCAGCTGCTGGGAGCAGTGGGAAGAATGGGTGTGGTTCTTTGGAGAAGTAGAAAAAACAGAATGTGACAGCATTGCATTATTTTTGTGCAGATGCCGTCCTCCAGATGTGGTGGTGTTTCCACGTTGTGTGGAGGAGGTCAGTGCCTTGGCAAAGGTCTGCCACAAGCACCGCCTTCCCATCATCCCTTTTGGCACTGGGACTGGCTTGGAGGGAGGGGTTGGAGCTATGAAGGTGAGATATTTGTGTGGTCATACTTTCTCCCACTTAGAACAGTTAACATCTTTAGTAACAACAATAACCAGCAGGATGTCATCTTGGTGATAACTGTCATAAGTCTTATTTCCTGTGTTTGTTTGTGTCATCATCCTTCAGGGGGGAGTGTGCTTCAGCTTAAGGAACATGGAACAGGTTCTGGATCTCCACCCAGAGGACTTTGATGTGACGGTGGAGCCTGGTGTGACTCGAAAGACTCTCAATGCATACCTGCGAGACACAGGCCTCTGGTTTCCTGTTGGTCAGTCAGGATGTTCACAGGGATTCACACAGATTAAGCATTAAGTCAACACTTTTGACATGAGTGTTCAGTTTAGGGGCGGTGGTCGGGGTCTTTGTGACCGTCATAGCACCAAGAGAACAGCTGCTAGTTATCTTGGCCTGTCAGCACAAGTTGTACCAAAAGATGAAAGAAAAACTACTGCACAGAATTAGTGATGTTGTATGATGTTGATGCTGATTTGTTAAAAAATATATTGATATTATATAATATAATAATATAATGTGATGATAAAACCCCCATCTATGATGGTAGTGTTAAAAGGAATGATGAAGAATACCTAAATAATACTTCAATGCAGGATGTTTTTAGGGTTTTTTCACATGCACAGGAATCTTTGCTTCTCTGTAAACAAGTACAAGAGAGTAGGTAGCAGCCAGATCATTAACTGATCATCAGCAACTGTGAGCATGTGCTACAGGCCTCAGTTAGCATGTTAAAATATTAAAGTTCATGACAGCTGCCCTCTTATTCACAAGTGGTCACTGCGGTTGTCCCAAGTTGTAAATATCTGGGTTATACAAAGTTACTGTCAGATTACAGATGTGTCCTTTTTTAATAATTGACCCAACCCTGGTTATGTGCTTTGTCTCAGATCCTGGAGCTGATGCATCTCTGTGTGGTATGGCTGCCACCAGTGCATCAGGTACTAATGCAGTGCGTTATGGGACTATGAGGGAAAATGTTATAAACCTGGAGGTAGTGTTGGCTGATGGGAGCGTCGTACACACTGCCGGGAAGGGCCGCCGTCCCAGGTACTCACCAGGCAAATGTGATGTATCGTTATGATCTTGAAAGCCTCTTACCTTTGCTTCTGTCTTGGTTTCTCTCCTCAGGAAGACGTCAGCTGGCTATAACTTGACAAACCTGTTTGTAGGCTCAGAGGGGACCCTGGGGATCATCACTAAGACCACATTACGCCTCTATGGCATCCCAGAGGCCATGGTGTCAGCGGTCTGCTCATTTCCTTCTGTCCAGGCTGCTGTAGACAGCACAGTGCAGACGCTACAAGCTGGAGTACCCATCGCTCGCATCGGTGAGCAGGAAACTTGGAAATAATGCAAAATAACGGCACACTGTGATTCAGAGGGCTCAATGTTAAGGATAATTCTGGATTATTTTGAACTGTTAAATAAAATGATGTTAGCAAAATGCACTCAAAAACAAACATTTCAAACATTGCCAAAGTTTCACAGAATAAGGTCCGTGTATCAAACGTTGAGGATCCAGTACTCTAATGTAGAAAGTTCGAAATACTGTTTAAAGGTGAAAATGGTGAAAACATAACTGATCACTTAAATATTCCTTATTTATGTGTTTCTCTCAATTCTATTATTCCCATCATCATCTTCACTGTAAACGCATTGTTTCCTTTCTTAGCGTAAGCCTCAGTCGTGGAGAAAACAGACACATAAAGATTTATAGACATAATGAGGAAGAGACAAAACTTTATTGCTCTTTTCAGAAACGCGATTTTTGCAGTGGTAGTGGTAAAACGGTCTGACCTCAGGGTCCAAACTCTGCTTCAGGTCCCAAAGTCAAACAAACACTGCGGCGTCACTGAGAGTTACAAACTTTAATAAAGTGATCAGTGTGTAACAATTAGGTTTAACATCCAGCCATCCATGAAAACAGGATTTATGAAGTTTAACGGAGTTCAAAGTTAGCAGGGAGTTAGCTCACTACTTTCCATCTAAACATAATATACTATGTTCTGACTGAGAGATTTCTGAAAAATTCAAACGTACAGCTCTGCTATCACTTCCAACATAAATGAAGACAGGAAACTAAACAGCAGTGACGTTTGTAGGGTTACTGAAGTTGGACTAGCTGGTATATAATGTTGTGCTACGTGACTGCTAGTGACACAGCTATGTTAGCATAATATAAACACAGTAATGCTGGAGGATGAACGCTAACTTTTTTCCACTCGTTAACGTGAGGGTTCCCAATGATTAGGGACAAATGCAATCGCATGGCAGGATGCTGTAAACGGACCGAACTTCAGTCAGGAGAACAATAGAGATAATCCATCCACAATACAAGGTTAGTCATTCATATACTGCTGCATGGGCTGGGCTGTAGTTGCATTGTAAGGTTTTAAAAACTGAGCTTTAAAATGTATAGTGGTAATAAAACCCGAGAGAGGCCGACAGTGATCACTGACTGTTTTTAGAGGCTTGGTCAGATTAAATAGAACAAGATACAAAACATTAAAGCATGTTAAAACACAGCAGCCTTAATAAACGCAGAGTAGTTTAGGACCTGGAGGCAGGGTTCATACAGCATCACTTAAAAACCGTATAGAATCCAGGAGGGAAGAATTTATCCTCAAACTAGAGATGAAAATGAGATCAATACCAATTATTGACAGCTGGAACCTACGCAGCAATGATGCAAGTGAATGACTTTAGATCATCTTACCTACATTTCCTTTAATTGTGTGTTTGTCCTGTGTGTGTGTGTGTGTGATCCAGAGTTTCTGGATGATGTGATGATTGATGCGTGCAACAGGTTCAGCTCTCTGTCCTACCCCGTGACCCCAACTCTGTTCCTGGAGTTCCACGGCTCAGAACAAAGCCTCGAGGAACAGGTCAAAACAGCCGGTGTGTGTGTTTGCTGATATCAGACCAGATGTTCTCCCATTAGATAAAGCAGTTTCTGAAAGATATTGAGCTTTAGTGTTAGTTTCCCAGATATGGCCAGGATATGAAAAGTAAAGAGTCATGAAGTCAGTGAACCATTTGTAAACATTTCAGGGTCCTCGGTTTTGTTGTAGACTGTCGTAGATGTTAACAGTAGTCACAAATATTTGTCTGTGAGGGGATGTGTCCAACAAAGCTTATTATTATTTGTAAACTGGTTGGTCCATCCACTGGATCTCAGGACAGTGCTTCTGAAAACTGCTTAACAGTCACATAACAGTAGTGTTGTGGAAGTGGGAGCAGATTTTCTCTCTTTGGTTAAAGTTTGGATGTAATGTGATTTATTGAAAGCAAGCAAACTCCCATTGAAGGTCAGTGTGTGTGTTTCTACAGAGGACATCACTCAGAGTAACGGAGGGTCAGACTTTCAGTGGGCTCGAGATACGGAAACACGGAATCGGTTGTGGAAAGCTCGTCATGATGCCTGGTACGCTGCTCTGGCTCTCAGACCGGGCTGCAAGGTAAACAAAGTCACCTGCTTCAAAGACCGGACTTCGAGCATGATTTTCTCTGTAGGTCGATTATTTTCATTTCCATCAAACAATGTGGCATCCTTTCTTTCCTAACACATTACCCAGTCCATATCATTATAGACATCCAGCACGATTTTTTTCCATTGAGGCCTCAAAGTGTTCCTTTAATTTTTGAGCAGTGAACTAAACAGTGCGTGGTCGTATCTTATTGGCTACTGCAGTTCTTGTTTGTGTTTTGTTTGCTTGGTATCTTGAGGTTAGAGGGTCCCGCCCCTAATAAACTATGGAAAAGGGAAAAAAAATGTGTGACAGTCTGTGCTGTGCCTTGTTTCTCTCCTCCTGTGCTGTTTCACCTCGTTTGTGGAATAAAGAGGTTTAATCATATTTTGACAGTTTGATTTAAAACCCACTGTGACAGAAAAGAGTGTAAGCGTCCAAACATTTATGGAGCTAACTGTACACTAAAACACCTTTCCTCGGCACTGACACTAAGGAAGGTAAAAAGAAGAAGGTGTATTACAGCGTGAGAGGGCTCTCGTGTTGGGCAGATGTAATATTGCTCCAAAGGGATTACACACAGCCTGCAGTGTGATATTATTATAACTTATCACTGCTGTGTGAAAACTCAGTACCATTCGAGTTGAGGTTGTTGGATATGTTGCCTTTTAATAGTGAGGCTTTGTGTGACAGCGCTGTGCTACACAAACACAGTCACTGCTCGGAGGCACTTTTATGTCTCACTTTATTAACGTTTTAAATCCTGAAGATTGCACAAGACACCTGCTTGATGCCTTTCCAATATCGTGACCTTATCTTCCCTGTGTGTGTGTGTGTGTGTGTGTGTAGGCCTACTCTACAGATGTGTGTGTTCCTCTGTCTCGACTGCCTCAAATTATTGTGGAGACAAAGGAGGACCTGATTGAGAACAGACTTACAGGTGAGCACACATCCACTTGACTTCACGCTGAAAGCGCACCCACAGCTGAATTTTACACCATGTTGTTCATTCATGGTGTAAAACTCTCTTATTCCTCAAAGCATTCATCTTTAATGTTAGAAAAAAAATAATAGAAATTTATGAAAAGAAAATAATTTCTTTCTTTTTGGGATTTCAGTGAACCAGTTTGAGTGAGCTTTCTGGTAGCTGGTCAGCTGACCCGTGTGGTGGAGTAGAGAAGCTGCAGGAAGGTTGATTAAAACGTGTAGTTTGAGGTGCATATTTTAACTGAAGGAAGCACTTTGAGGTCTAAGGGATCAATGAATGAGACTTAACTCCTAATACTACAACTTTTAAATACAGGAACTCTTGTTAAGCTCCAGGATGTAGGGGTCATTCTGGTGTATCATCACAAGAGCACAGAAGAAGAAAGTGATGTAAAAAGCTGATGTTTTTTGGCACTGTATTGAATGTGGATGGCTTCTGCCCTCAGGTCCCATAGCAGGCCACGTGGGCGATGGGAATTTCCACTGTCTGATGGTGGTGGATCCAAACGACCCCGAGGAGATGCACAGAGTCCACCTGTTCACTGAGAGACTGGCTAGGTATGGTGTCACCTCGCACTCACTCACAAATCTTCTACCAATCAGGATTTCACTTCTTTTTCTGGAAGATTGTCGCCATCCATCGAGCCGTTCACTGCTTCAGGGTTGACAACAACAGGATGTGAGGACACAGTTCATATCTGTGACTCATTCATACAAATAAATGTACAGTGTTTAATCAGCAGACATTTTATTCTAGTTTGTCATTTTTATTATGACAAACCTACAGTAAGCAGACCTCACTCTAACTGGAGTCCCTGTATGGACATATCTGATGGGTAATACAGTTGTCCAGGAAGTTAAGCTGCATCCATTTGAGGCGACTCGCACTGGACACGCTGCTTTGAAGCTGACAGTTGGTCACTAGCCTGACATATGTTGTCTACCCTCTCATGTTTTAGTCAAAGTTGTCCCACGCCCCCACTGGTAGTTGCGTCAGGCGCTTGCCTTGAAGTTAATAAAAGTTTATCTTGTAATGTGTGCAGTTCTCATTGCCAGTATTTTGTTTTTGAATGTTGTTGGCTATCTAATATGGCCTCTGGTATCGTTGTGCATTGCTTCCTATGTGGACTCTCCCACACAGCACATACAGTTCATGCCCACATGGACCAGCTTCAAGTAGAAACCAGCCCTGCATTCTGTGCAACTCGAGGAGAGACTTTAAAGCTCCGCCCACCCCCGTGACTGAGCTCGCAGATGTCGTTAACATGATCAAAGTGATAAAATGATTACAGAGTAATCTTGACTGTTTTTAACGTGTATCTGAACGAACACTCCTCTGAAAAGGTTATTATCGCATACAGTAGTAATCAGCTACATGGTAACACTAAAATTACCATTAAAAAACATTTATTGTACTAGCAAAAGACATAGACAGGAGCCTCGAACCACCTGACAGCTGCTGTAATGTTTTATTTATACTTCCTTCAGATCCCATCAAGCAGACACACATTGTTACTGAATACCAGATGTTCTTACTAACAGTAATCTCCTTTTTTTTTAAGTCTTATTGGTTGAGCGCGTATGCCTCATGTACCTGTCAGGCAGCCTGGCCTCACTGCTCCATTTTAGCAACTTTCCTTGTTATTACCTTCATTGTCAGTCTCTCTTCAACACGTTTCTCTTCACCCTAATCCTCCCCACACTCGCCGTAATCCTCCTTACTCCGCTTGCTTATCTTCAAACAAATTCCTCCCCGTTGGAATCGCGCTCTCGCCCATCTCTCTCGGTTAATATTGATTCCAGAGGGCCAAACGTTTAAGTCTTGGGACTTGCAAAGACTTGTGGGCTGTCTTTCTATAGATGGAGGGGTTTAGCTATGTACCAATACAATCTTCTCAAAATCTGTTTTCAAAGACTTTAAACACCACCAGCTATGCCAGGGTCAGGCTCAGACCACAGAGGGTAATGGCATAGAGGATTAGATGGAAGAAAGCCACAGCTCACCTGAATTAGACCTGAGCGAAGGCAGCGGAGACTCCAATGCACGAAACAACTCTAACTCCCGTCCTTCTCCTTTTAAGCCATCTTTCTTCTGATTGGCTGCCCCTTTTCCAACAGCAGGTGGGTGGGGCTTCTGTGCTGTGGACCATGAATTGGCCATATTAAAAATATACACTCTGTATTGCGTCATATAGAGCCAAGAAAACGCAGCCTGAAGCCTGAGCTTCTGGCTCACAGCGATTACTTTCGTATGAATGTTTGTGGATAGAAAGTGAAACATTTTGAAACATTTGTAAAGGTTTCAGAAAACTTTCAAACTTTTTGCTCCTAAAAAATGTATTTGCTTCTTGCAGGCGAGCCTTGGCCATGGATGGTACGTGTACAGGGGAGCATGGAGTGGGTTTAGGAAAAAGGGCGCTGCTGTGCGAGGAGATGGGGCCTGTGGGCATCCAGGTCATGCAGAGTCTCAAGGACGCCCTCGACCCAAACAACCTGATGAATCCTGGGAAAATCCTGCAGCGAGAAGAGCCATGAGCAGCGTGTCCATCTGAGTGAAGTTTGTGGACGCACCTCTGTTAAAGGAGCACAAGCAAACATATGAAATCATTGAAGCAGTGATTTGCAAATTCAGTTAAATCAAGAAAGCTATACGTGTTTTGTGGGATTTCTCACGAATGTTCCTACATGCACCAGAAAACCTGACTCTTGGAAAATGATGAGTGTTAATAGAATCCTTTTTGCTAACTCCAAATTTGAGTTTTTAAGGAAGACCTGGTCTGTTGTTGCAGACCAGCAAGCATTATGTAAAGATTATCTTCCACAGATCCTTTCTTTTTGTGTCATTAAAATTAATGTCTAATATGTGGAATCACTCCAAGTGCTGTTCAACCTGTTTATTGCCTGCTGAATACATTTCATTGAAAGTAGACACTACAGTTTATTATGCTTTTGCTTTTGTAAACACTTTACCTAACTGCAGATGAGCATTTTGACACAGGACTCCATTATTCTATTGATTTGCATAGCTGTTTAAAGAGTATCTAGAATTCAGCGACTATATGTTGTATACTTTAAATAAATCACAGTATGCAATGGTTTCAGTGAAATCCTTGACCATGATGACCTACATAAAGAAACTGAAAGTTTTTGTTAATTCACAGAATGTAATGTAGGATGAATGTCCATGGGTGAGGTCTGCATCAGCAGGAAAAGCTGAAAAACCTGTTAAGATATATTTAAAAGTCCAAAATCTTTGCCCTCTTTCACATTTTTCAAAGCTATACAGTGGGACAGATCCATCTTTGACGACCTGATTCTAGGCCCCAGGCCTTATCTTTGACCTCCCTGATATAGGTTGTCAGGAGGTCATTAATGACAAAAGTACAGTAACTTCTAATAATTTGGAGCGCTGCATTTGAGCGCTACAAAGTTGGCTATTGTTAAGAAGCTACATAAAAGTGAGAAAAGCAAACATGTTAGCTTTTCAGCATGTTAAATTCATTTCACTGTCCGCTAACCGGAATGGAGGCAGCTTTCAAGGAAGCGAGCAAACTTCAAGTAATTTAAGTTGCCATCATTTGGATTCACTGCGTTTTATGTCACAAACCATTAAACAAGAAAATTATCAGAGCCAAATGAACCTTCAGGCGTCTTTGTACCTGGATTTCTTCCTTCTGTCTGTGATGAAGCAACGCTCTACACCACCACACGGTGTCAGTGGTGCATCCTTGAGAGACAAACCTGCAGCGTGTCAGCCAGAAGATCAAAATATAATGCTCATTTCTGCCTCGGCAGCTTTGTAACTATTGTTTTCCCAGCTTGCAGCCACTAACTGAACATTAAGAAAGATGTGAAGAGCACTAACACACTCGCACAGCCACTGAGCTACAATCAAATCTCCTTTTAAATAAAAACACTGCGTGACTTTGTTATAGCTCACTCTGAGTTCTGTTTATTTTATTCTTATTGATTTGCATAGCTGTTTAAGCAGTCTACAGTTCAGTGACTATTTCCTGCAGCCTTTCTAATAAGTCATATTTGTTTTCCGTGAAATCCTTGACGATGGTTCAGGAGGCCTTTAAAAAAGATGCATTGAAACTTATAATTAATAACAACCACAAAATGATCACAAAGAGACCATGCATTCATTTAAAAAGACAAAAGAAGAAAATAAATAAGTGCAATATACATTCTAAAGTTATATTTCATGTGGGTTTGAAAAAAATCCACACATGCAAAAGAAAAACGCTATTTTCTCCCCATTTTACCTGAAAAAAATATACAAATATAGCAGAAATGGGCTGGTAATCCAGTTTTCACCACCTCTGTTAAGTGGCCTTTTATGACTAAACTAACTAATGATGATATGTTGAGAATGTTATTAAGGGTGTTAATGAATCCTTTACTTCATTAGGGTATTTTTGGTAATCCACTCATTGAGAGTTAATGTTTAGTTATACTTTAATAAACAGATTTTTGACTCAGATTCTTCACAGCTGCGGACCAAACATGTCAAATTTGTTAACATTAAATAAAGTAAGAAGTCACGTTTCCTTTATAAATGTATTAAATGTATATGGGCAACTTGTTAAAAGGTGGCACTAAAATTTTCTTGGTTATGGATTCGCTGGAACTATTAAAAAGAAAACTGGCTGAGAACCTGCTTACACTGTGTTTTTGTGAGCTTGATTTTTTTTATTATACTGGTGCAGTGTGTGTGTGTGTGTGTGTGTGTGTGTGAGAGAGAGAGAGAGAGAGAGAGAGAGAGAGCATGAGAAGCAAGGGAAGCATTTTAGTTTTACTAACAAGTTGATTTCTTATCCTCTGTGTCAAAAAGCAGTTTTTCCTCTTCTAATTTTTCCTGTGTGGAGACTGTGTAGCAAACCTTGTTTCTTTTATTCATTTTACATTCTGTGTGTGAAGTTGTCTGTTATCAGTGTTACTAAGATCTCATGTTAAACCTCTACACCAGTGATTTCTACTCATTTTGGGCCTTTTATCCAGACCTGTCATATTAGTATAATCACCAACACACTGCTCATGTTTCAGTGTTTTATATTTATCTAACATGGCTCATTTTTTTGCTTTGTTATTATATACTTTACATTTACTTAACTGTTTTTACATTTTGAATGCTGTCATCATAACTGTTTTAAGCGTTCATCCATTACCTTTATGAGCATTAATACTGAAAATCAAAACTACAAGTGAATTAAATATTTCATGTCTAACTGACTAATTGAATCCATATTTGCTTATTTATTACTTCTTAGTACTGCATTAGAGCCTATCACAGCAGCTGTAATGGGATGAGACGTGGGGCTATTCTGAAATTAATAAAATAAATAAATAAAAATCTTTATTTTCTTTGGAAGAAAATAAATTTTACATTTATATTTATTATTTCTGTATGTTGTTCTGGTTCCCATATTCCTTGAATTTGCAGGGTCTGGACAGCAGCCTTTGTAATCTTATAGAATATTCAGGTTTTTAATCTTCCTCTAAGATTTCTCAGTGTTTTATTATAAATGTATGACTTTAAGCCCTAAAAAACATTTTTCTCGAAATATTACCCCCGACTCCTTCTACCCAGTTTTTTTTAATTATTGTGAGTTCATGAGGAGCCCTCACAGTTTGTGTTGTACATGTACAATGACAATAAAGGGCTATTGTAGTCTATATTATTCCTTTATCTAGAATAGTCACAATATGTCATCATAACTTGGTGCCTTTAGATAATTATTTATTAATAGTAGCTAACCATGGAGCTGTACATTACCACTGTTTCTTTAACAATGTATTCATTAGCCTGATTTAATAATGTGGCCTGTATTTTGACCTTTGCCCCTCATTTCAGGGATTTTTTACTTTAAGCTGTATTTTTGTTTTTATCCCTTATTCCACTATTTTGCAGCGGTGCTTTAAATCAGCTGGAGCTGATTGTGTGTGTCTGGCTTTGTGTGTGTTTACATGCCTGTGGAGCAGAGAGGGATCCATTTATAGGCTTGCTGTCATTATAGCGGGATAGATTAACACCTACTGTACTGTAAGTACTCAACAATAGTTTACCTTATTGGGTAGTAAACCCAAGAAGGCTGCACGAGTCTGACTTTGTTTTACTGTGGAAGAACAAAGAGCCAAGGAGAATATAACCAGCCTAATTACACACACAGACACACACATGCAGGATTAAACGGAGCAGGCCTAATCCCAAACCAAACATGGTCACCAGTGATCCCAATAACTTAGCATACAGGATGGTGGCAAAATCTGTGAATAGCCTGGTAATGACATCAGTCTGCAGGACTAAAGACTTAAGGCCTGACCTTGTGGGGCAGCAGCAGAGGAGCATCGACGATGCAGAAGAAAAGGGGTTAATTAATGTTTTAATTAAGAATTTAATCTGAGAGGGGATTCACCAACCATTCAGATATATTCCCAGAATGTTTTAATCCAGACTCTTTAAGACCTGTGACTGTTTATATACAGTGCTTTCCTCCTCAGTGCATCATTGTAAACCATAGTTTTATAATGGTGAACACAAAAATATGATATACAGCTCTGGAGTTGTAAAAACAATAGAGTTCAAAGTTTTAACAAACAAGGACTCCCCTTCATAAACCTCAAAGTGGTTCGGTCCACATCCTGCTGCATCTTTTACCTTGCAAAGGTGAACTGAAAGGATGTCAGTGGAATTAAACATATTAATGCTGCTGTACGGACTTTATTCTGGAGGTCAGCCTACCATGAAAATCATCAGAACTTAAAGACTTGACTGGATTTTCAAATCATTTTCAGACTGTTTCGTGACATTTTTTAATTTCTCATATAGATAGTTATTCCTCAATTCGTCCAAAATCCAGCACGATACCACGATAACCATAAAGTGACTGTCTGATAATGTAGAAACTTCATAGCTAGAGCCGATATATCTGTGACAGGACAGATACTGGACGATAACTAACGAGCGATCAGAGCAGTTTAAAATTATTCTGTCTTTGTGTATTTTTATGTCAGTTCTTTTGTTTCCTTTGTTTGTTTGCTTTTTCTTTCGGCTACCTGGTGCGTTCCCCCTCCACCGCCGTCACACCTGTCCTGTCCTAAAATGCCCCATAATCCAACATGTGAAAAAAAAGAAAGAAAAACAGGCCAATCCCATGTCGGGGAATTAGAAACGGCGTGCATCTGTCTCCCATACTGTCTGTATTTATGATCCGAGCCTGCGCACTAAGCGCGTCCATTGTCTGGCCAGCAGCAGCAGCAGCGGCTGAGGCGGAGCGGAGAGGAGCGGAGCGCCGATCTGAGCGCAGGGGAGCGGCTTCACTGTGACCCCGATCTCCGGGGGGTGGGAAAAAAAGCGAGCCCACCAGACCGGACGGACGACGTCATTTATTTGTGTGTGTGCGCGCGTGTGTGTGTCAGAGACAGACCGTCGTTTTGCTGGCGGTCAGACAGACAGCAACAGTTGTCACGATGTCTGAGATCAGATGAGGGCAGAGCAGCGGAGGGAACACTGCGGCGCTGCTGTGATCCGGGCCGGCCGCCTGCGATGAGACAGCCGCGTTAACCAGCCGGGACAGCAGGGCAGCAGCGCAGCGCGCGCATCTGTTCGCGGAGCGCGGATTTCGGCGTCAGTCAAACGCTCTCCGCTCGTTCCTCCCGGTGGTGTGTGCGGGTGAGGTGAATCCAGACGTCAGGGCTGGCTCATGTTCCGCTCAGCAGGGAAACGGGCTGTTGCGTCTGCGGAGAGTCAGAGCTGACGAGCCTGCCGACACACACGGACGGATAGGCAGGCAGGCAGGCCGACAGACAGACAGGAGCGAGGGGAGGGGGGCACAGCCTGCCCTCTGCGGATCGAGCCGAGCCCCCTCCTGTACCCACCCAGAACCCCCACCCACTCCTCTCCCCGCTTTGGATGGGGGGAAAGCAGAGCACGGCGGGGCGGCCCCGGGGTGCTTTTCCCGGTGTCTCTACGGATGACAGCGCGGTGCCACCCTCGGCCCACTTTGGTCACTACCGGCCGAGCGGCACCATGGGCCTGCGGAGCCGCTCGGTGAGCTCCGTGGCTGGGATGGGCATCGAACACAGTCCCGCCGTGCCCTTCGGCTTCTACACCCCAAGAGGAACGGACTCGGATCGAGCCGGAGGGGGGTCAGGGGGCACTACCGCGGCCCCTCACGGGACCGGCTACCAGGACACTGGGGGCGGAGGGCACCACACGGACGGGGTGCTGTATCTGGGGTCCCGGGGGTCGCTGGCTGACACCTTGCCCCTGCACATCGCACCCCGCTGGTTCAGCGCGCACAGCGGTAAGGTCTGCAGGCTACACACACACACACACACACACACACACACACACACACACACACACACACACACACACACACACACACTGTTAACCAGCAGATATTCGGGGGACGGCTGACGGATTAATCATCACACAAAAAAGCACGAACACATTCCCACGGACACCTGCTCCTACTGCCAGACACCTACCTTGTTTACCTGCAGGTAGGCTGCTGAACGACACCAATGCGGTGCCCATAAATTTCACCGCCATCACGGGGAAGTTAAGCCCGAGGACGCACTCAGAAACAAGCAGAAAGGAGGCTTTTGTCTGAGAAAAATAAGACTGCCCTGTATGGAAAACATGTTGTGCTTCACGTTCTCTCCGCTGGCTGTAGGGAAAAAAAATCTGGGGCACTGGGATGAATTTTTTCAGCAAGAAACTGGAGATGTCGATGTTTCATCATTGGTGATGAAATGTGTTTAAAGCTCATTTCTGTGTGCGGATGTTTTGGGGAGAACATAGTCACCGCTGCGCCGTCTGCGTAGGTCATTGCTTGTTGTGTGAAATGACTCTAATAAGCCTGTTGCCAAATCTGGCTGGGTCAATTAGCCCAGCGATTATAGGGGAGAGAGGGAGGGAGGATGGATGGGGGGGAGGAAGGGCTGAGAGGGCTGTTCATGCTCATCATCGGCTTACCACCCTGCACAATATGTCTGTGTGCGCCTGAACACAGCTGCACACTCACAGGTATATGTAGGTCTGATGTCGGGCGCCTCCTCACACTCACAGTGAATATCAGTTTGGCTGTTTCCTGTGGCGCTTAGAAGGAACAGCAGCACTTCAGAGACGAAAAGAGAATCAGCTGGCACATAAATCTGATCCTTCTGAAATCTTAGAGGGTCATTTGCACTTAGAAATGCCAATCTCACCGCTTTCAGTGGTGTTAAAACACAATTTATTGTTATCATCATTATTATTTTACAGCTGGTCATGTAACATTATAAGCTGTGTAGACCTGCCATGTCAAACTCATTTGAGTTTATGACCAAATCACATTGGTTATACGTGATTTATGACCATACATAACAAATGTGATTTCAGTTGATTAGTAGTATGAACTGCACAAACTGAGTCATCTTTTTTAAATACAAGTGCAAACGTCTGGGGGTTTAGGGAGCCAACCTTACCCACCAGAAACAACGCTTAGCCACATATCCATCTTTGGATGTAGTATAACTTTGTGTATTCAAATATTTAATAAGTAATTGAGGAACCTTATAAACACTGTCTTCTCTCCATTACACAAAGCAGCCTCAGCCTGGTCCCCAGGCTCTCATTATCAGCGCTCTGACCGGCTCATGGAAAGAGAATAACGAGTTGGATGTCAGTATACATGTTGTTTGCACCTGGCCTACATTGTCCGGTGACTCCAATGTGCTCTCATAACCAGGTTGGAGGATCGGAGTGTAAAACTGGAGAAATGAGCAAAAATATGTAAATATTAAACAGACAGGAAGCAGAAGCATGGTCACGGCTGAACAACCTTTAATTTTCAGCAGATCTATTGGGTTTCTGTAGAGTTCACCAAGTTAAGCTTATGACTCACACCAGTACATTCACCATTACAATAAAGAATGGAAGGATTACTGAAGGGCCTGCTGTGCACAAGGCTAAGGGGAACATAGGTCCATTAGTCCACCACAAAAAACCACAAAGAGGTCCAAAGTGTCCATAAAGAGATGCAAAATCACTGGAGAAAGGAGAAACAAAACAACCATAAACATAAAGTTATGCAAAAAATACAAAACGTCAATAAAGAGACTGTGCATAATAGCTACAGAGAGAAATAAGATGTCCATAATGAGATGCAAAATAACCATAAAGATATGCAAAGAGACACAAAACGAATGCACAGAAAAATAAAACGCCCACAGCTACAAATAAGCTCAAAATAGAGATGCAAAGCATCAATACAGAAAGTAGAAACAGTTACAAAGATATGGACAATAAATATAAAGAGATGTAAAAAAGCCTCGAACATACAAAATGCTCATAGAGAAGGCAGAAATCATGATAGAGAGATGGAGAGTATTTAAAAAGAGATGCATGACAGCTACAGACAGATCCCAAACTTCCATAACACAATGTAACGTGACTCTGAAGAGATGCAGGGTAGATGCAAAGAGCTGCAGAAACATGCAAAATTATCCGAGTCAGAAAACAGCTCCAACTACAAAACGGCAGAAAAAGTGACACGAAGGTTGCAAACTAGCATGTGAGGAAGGCAGCTCTGACCAAAATGTCACCATTTTAATGCTGTAATAAAAAAACTGGTTGCTTTTGTTGCAAGTTTTGCTATTTTTCATCTGTCTATGCTTTAGCACGGCTTTTGGTTTATAACTTTTCTCGGCTGGGTTTTATTCTGGGTGTTTTTCTTGGCTGCATTTAGAACCACAATAGAGCTGTGTCAGAAAATCCAGGACCCTCATTTATTTCCACTGCGAGCGCACAGTGGGGTGCCACCGCAAAGGGCCCCGGCAAGAAAACGCCCGTAATCTGTCAGAAAAAGTCCATCCCGGTTCAAAATGATCAGCGTCACTGAGCTTTTCACCGTCAGCCAAAACCATGCGTGAAACTGTCTGTATTTAATAGACAAGATCAAAAGATCACTGTCGCCTGCTTTTTTAGCTTTTATTCTCATTTATTCATTGACCTGAAAATCTTTGGTCACAACTTGTTTTCAAAGGTTAGCAGGAACTTTTTTGTCAGGTGGGAATTTGTGTTTATTCCCGTCGTGCACAGATGCTTTATGTAATCACGCAGCTCGGAAACCGTTACACTGTCGTTCTGATCAGGACTCTCATCAGACCACATCCTAAAGTTCAATTAAGCTGTTAGCACGTAGCATCATGCTACATAATACTATAGTCCTAGTAGTGTAACTACATAACATTATTTTGCACAGTATGATTTGTTTTCTTCCTTTCTCTGCAAATTTATTACCAAAAGCCTTGAACCATTCCAGCAATCAAAAGAACTGCCCTTGAAATCAGACAGCGTAAAGGATTTATTACTCTAATTACCTGAGGTCGACCCCATCTAGCAGATTCTCTTTCTTTGAAAACAGCAGGGTGACAAAAACATCACAATTAAATCTTAATGTTCAAAGCAGTGCGTCTCACCTTGCTGTCTGTAATCAAAGGCCTCACACGCAGCCGCTGGTCTGTAGGGAAAAATGGCTGTGACTGGTTGGTGCGTGGCTGGAGGTTGCTGCCATTAATTTGGTACTAAAGAGGTGTACAAGGCTGCCTGCAGATTGCTGCAGTTGGCAGCAGTCAGTATGGAAAATGACAACATGTCAAGCAGGTTGAAATCTCTTAAAAGTGTGAAAGCAGAAACGGAGAAGTTTGCTTTTGAAAATAAAAGTTCCGCCTTTTCAAATGCATTGGTTGCAGCGGTGCAGCACGCTCTTTGCAGCAACCACTTGGCAACTGGTTGGGGAGTGGAATATGTGTTTTTTCTTAGTGGCCGGTGTTTGCTGTGTCTGTAGTCTTCATGTTTCTGCACCTTTGGGCTCATCTGCCTCCATCTCACCCAATCCCAACATCCTCTCTGTCACGATAAACGCTCTGCCCGTCCTTCTTCTGTTGTATTCTAGGCAAAAGACGGATGCAACTGAATTTTAACAAGCCTCTGTGTGTATTTAAAAACTGCTGTCAGGGAGGCGCAGTTACAACATAGTGATGGGAAAACATGTTTTATCAGCTCACCATATTGCTCATGTATCTGTATCTGTTTTACAGCTCAAATTTAGGAAGGAAAATATTTAAATATAAAGTTTATGGTATACACTATTTATTTATTGACATGACTGCAATGATTGCTGCTGGGAATGCTCATTTAAAGTGTTATCAGAACAAGTCTGCAGCTCCCCCAGGGGGCAGCTCCCAGCTGTGAGCGTGGTGTAGAACTTTGGGTTTTTCCTGCAGGCTGTCACTCTAAATGTTTAGAGCTGCTTCTACAGTATTACATACAGTCTGGGAAGCACATGGATCCAAGCTACGATTACCTCGCACTAGTTTTTATAAGTAAAAAGCTGCGCCCATCCCGTCCTTGTGTTTGGACACAGGTTTTTACTTATTTGTGGCGCTATCGCTAAATCGAGTTAGTCGTTATTAAAATGAACTAGTTGTGTCAATTTTCTCAAATTTCACGTCATTGTTAGCTTTGCTAAGTTTCCTCTCACACCGACATCAACCTCACAAACTCTGTTGTTGTGATTTTCTGCTATATAAATAAAGCTGAATTAAAAAGATTGTGATGCAGGTGAAAAGTAGCAGTTCTGACAGAACATGAGTTACTTTGTTTTGATTTCGTGGACAAATATGGACAAAAGAGTAATTTTTAAAGTAAAAATAACGCAGTGCAGGAGCAGCAGAAATATATATATAGTTTTCATGGTGTTCATGGTGTTAACAGGTTTGGGTTAAAGACAAAGAGCAGACTGTCGGCTGATCTCGTTAGACTGATTTGCTCCATTACAAAATCACCAAGTTATGTCGAACTCTGTGCAGCATCAGCTCATGTACATGTTCTTCTTCAAACACACTTTATGATCCTTCAGCGATGATTTAGAAAAAATTTTTTTTCCAAAAAAACAGGGAAACTCTTAAATACCAGAGCAGATAAAAATACTCACACTTCAAACGAATGCTCATTTGTGGCTTTTGTGGACCATGAAAATGCCACATTTCTTGGTAAAATGGATTACTTAAATTTTTTTATTATGAAGCTTAACTGTAGCATTACACAGATGCAATAATAAAATGGGCTTTGAAGGAATATCTTCTGCAAATCAGGTCTGTTTAGGCGTCTGAGACGAAAACATAAGAGCCACAGGTGCGACTTGGAAAAGCTCGATCGAGTTCGCCAGAACGGACTGACCATCTTTTTAAAACAGACAGTTTATGATTTGTTTGTTGCTCTCTATGAATCTGCTGTCAGATTTGCTGTATAGATGTTGCTGAAGTACAAGAGAACGTTTGAAGACACTACGGTGCCCCTGTGCCAGTGCAACAGGATTAATGGTTAATACAGATGTAAATATAAGAATCCTTCCATAGATTCCTTGAATCACTTGCCTCTTTTTATATGAGGGCTCTGCTTTACCACATTTGGAAGCTCATTTGAAGTTTGGGCTCCTTGTACAAATGTCCAGAGATGCAGATGTCATCATTATTTTACAAAATAGCCAACGACAGTGCTGGGATGTCCTTTCGGTCCTTTTAGCTACTTAGATAAGTCACCTTTTTTATTACAAGGACAAACATG